TTTTTTTTTTTTTTTTTTTTTTTTGGCTTCTATGGCAAATAGAATCAGAAGGCAGGAAGGGCACGGGGTTGTTTTCCCCACTGGAAAAGAAGTTTGTGATAGTGAAGTGTGAGTAAGAGATCAGAGTACAGTGTACAATCCTAAAAATCTGTTTTGCAAAGCAAAAGGGATTCAGGAGTTGGAATATATAGAGAAGGAAGGAATAAACGTTTAAGTGATAAAGTGTCAAAAATTATAATAAAACTGTTACTCTAGCAGTCTTAAACTGAGACCTCTCTTCCTCTGTAAACGTTCTGCCACATGGAGGAAAGAGAGGGAGCAATTCCAATATTGACTGAGGCCTAGAAGTACCTGTTGATTTGTGATAAACTTCCTAAGAATTTGAGCATCAAAGCAATTTTCTTTGTGCTCCAAAACTCTTGAGGCACACTTTCCTAAGCACGGACTTATTTTCTAGAAAGTAAACGTTAACTTCTTGAAAGGAAACCATGGCAGAGCTGTTTGATTATAACTATCTTATTGTTTTCACATAGTGAGTAGAATAAATGACCTGACTCTTTAAAAATTAAAAGTCAGTCTTTGGCAGAAACCAGGTTATAAAAAGCAGCGACCTCTGCTAGCTGTTTATAAAGCAATTGTTTTAAGTGGAGAAATGCTTAGGAAGTAGATAAGAATTGTATGACTCAGTAAATTTGGTTAACTGCCTCTTCACACACACACACACACACCCCCAAAACTTGCCTCTATTAGCAGAAGACCAATACTTGGCCTCCCCTTATGGCCAGGAGAGGGATTAGTGCAGACTAAAGGCTGTAATGTTTAGAGAAGGGGCTCCAGAGGAAAAAGCCTTGGTTTGAAGTTTTTCTTCTTCACTGCCTAACTCTGGCCCCTGGTGGCAAGTAATCTGACCTTTCTAATCCTCAATTTCCATCTCCAAGAGCAGAAGAAGAATACCACTTACCCCATCAATTTCTCCTGATGATTAAATGAGTTGGTGGTGACGGAATGAAAATCAAGCATTGGGTTTTTATTCTAAAAGCCTCTGGACGGTCTAGACACCAAAACTTCTCTATTTCAGCTGTGGAATCTGAAGGGCTCAGTACTCCACCTCTCACCCCCGCTCCCTGACCACACACACAGAAGCCAGGACAGACACCTGGCCCAAGCCCTTCTTGGCTTAGGATAGAATAACCCAGGCATCCGTGGTTTTCAGCCTGTGGAGAGGAGTAAAGATTGGAAAAAGCTGTCTTGATTCTCAGCCTCCTTGCAGGAAACTAGTGCAGAGCTACAAATTCTCTCTTCTCTCCTCACCTAAGGCATAATTTGTGTAAAAGAAATAGGCTACAGAGTACATTTAAAGGAAGGAAGGCCCCTGGTTACACTAGATTAAGTCTGGCACGTTAGAAATGCATTGGGGTTATAAATAAACACCTTCAAAAGCCAAGAGAAGGTAGAGAGAAACTTGGGAGCCGTATTTCATTCATATTTAGTAGTTTTGAGACTCAGTTCTGTCCCCCACTGTGATTCAGACATGGGTGGGATACCTGACAAGTTGTTGGGTTATAGAAACTGCACATGCATGTTTTATGAACTGATAGAGAAACTGGGTTAGAAAAAACAGACTGTGTTTACATCACACACCTTGCCTATCTACCCATTCTCACCTCCCCATCCCTATAGATTCAAGCCCCAGGAAATAACTGTAGTCAAACACCGATGGACATATTTACATGTATTATTCTGTGAGATACTGAAGCACCAGCAGCATACTTTGGTTTCCAGACAAGGAAATGTGATGCAGGGCCAGGGAGCATCCCATCCTCCCCATCACTTCCCAGTGTTGGCAATTTTGGAAGCACTGGTGGGCAGCACCCTTGGCGTGGATCTCATGGTTCCCATGGAAGCAGCAGCCACAGTGGGCTCAGCAGAGACTTACCTTTAAGTAGCTGCACAGACAGAAAATATCCATAGAGAAGCTAGTGTGTGGTAACTAGACTCTTGGCATATGAATATGAATGACAAGCCCTGGCATCCCTGTGACACAACTGAGTGCTTTTGAGAGGTGCTGGAGGTCTTGTTTTTATGCAGGAGAAAGAGTCAGTATGAGTCACTCCCACTAAAAAGTGTTTGGAACCCATAGGCTGGTGAGACTCAGGAAAAGTGTAGGTTGCATAGCCACTTAACATTTATGAAAGGCCCACTAAATGCCAGTCACTAAAGCTGGGTTCTGTGTGGGGTATGCAGCGTCTGAGGCACTGCTTCGCTCGGTAATGTCTCAATAAATATTAAATAAATGAATGAATGAACGAACAAATCAACAAACGAATGACATATGAAGATGATAAAGCGCAATCCCTAGACCGATGGTCCTCAAAGTGTGGTCCTGGAACAGCAGTACCAGCTTCACCTGGGAATTTGTTTAAAATGCAAATCCATGAACCCCCACCCCAGGCCTCCTGGATTAGAAATTCTTGGAGGAGACCTATTGTGTTCTGTTTGGCAACAAGCCCTCCAGGTAGTCTGATGCATGCTGAAGGGGGAGAACCATTGCCCTAGGTAAGGAATCCCAAGAAGGATGGGGCAGGCCAGGAAGGATAGAATAAAATAAACAGTTGTAGGAAGGCTCAAAACAACATTTTCCATTTGCATAAGACTTTTCTGTACCTTTTTCTTCTTTATGAGCATTCTCTTTCCTTCTCAGCATTTCACTCATTGGCTGGAAAAGAGAGAGTATGTTAATATCCATGCTCTGCAGAGTCAGCCACCCTCACCTACCCAGCCCTGCAGATTCTAGTCTCTTTCTCAAAGCAAGTCGTGGCATGTAAATACTGGGAAAGGGAGACTTTTGAGAGAGATTACAATTCACAACCCATGGAACAAAAAACAGGAACACTGGTAGCTGGGTATGAAGGGACTGTTTAAGGAAAATTGCAGGAAGAAATCAAATCCTCGACAGGCCATTCCCAGTTCTGCACCCATAAAGACACATTTTACAGGAAAATCGCACTGTTTTGTAAAAGGCAGTCAGAGGGTGCCCATGTCCACATAATGGGTATCACAGGCAAAAATTATAAGCCAGAATGCCGTGTTGAGAAGCCTGGCATGGGTTTTGAAATTTAAAAGATGAGCAGATATAAAGCACTATAACTATACGTTAAAAAAAATGCTTGATAAGAATGAACGAGTTGTGTCTCTAAATATAACACACTTCAATTCTTTTTTCCACAGGAAATAACCAATGCTTTGGTTAAGAATGCATTGTTTTGCAGTTCTCTGGAGAATGAAGACAACCTTGAGGTAATCACTAGCTCAAAGGCAATAATCTTTGTTTTATTTTTGCAGCAATTGCTTACAATATAGAAATAGCCAGGCAATATAGTTTACGATAATAGATCTGCATTTAATTCCATTGAGTTGAGAAATTTGTAAATAAATTTCTCAGCTAGCTGCTTTTAGCAAGTGCTACAGACTGAATGCTTGCGTCCCTTCAAAATTCGTATGTTGAAACTCTAATGGCCAATATATTTATTTGGAGATGAGGCCTTTGGGAAGTAATCAGGTCATAGAGTTGGAGCCCTCATGATGGAATCAGTGGCTTTGTAAAAAGAAACAAAAAGAGCTTGCTTCCTCTCTCTCTGCTCTCTGCCCTATGAGGACATAGCGGGGAGACAGCCACCTACAAGCCAGGGAGAGGGCCCTCACCAGAACTCCCCCACGTCCCCTCTCAGACCTTTCAGCCTTCAGACTGTGAGAAATAAATTTCTGTTGTGTATACCTCCCAGTGTATGGTAATTTGTTGTGGCAGCTCAAACTAAGACACCAAGATATTTCATTTAGTTGAGTTTTCCCATCTGAAAAAAAACAGTGTTATATCTAGTTCCCAGGGTTGTTCTAAGAACTAAATTATATGTTATATGGGAAGCACTTAACACAATGCTAGCTTGATACACAATAAGAAGTAATGGCTCATTCACTTGCTCTCTTTTTCTTGCAAGGATGATGCTAATGACTAAGCACTCTAGAGAGACCGTAAGAAAACACTGATGAATAAACTGTGATAAACACATAATTCCAAGTTCAAGAAATAGTTGTCAGTTGTACTAAGCTACTAAATACAGCAAATTATTCAACGTTTGCTCACTATCTCCTTTACTTAATAAAGGACTTAAAAGATAATCTAGAGTATATTCTGCATGCTACTTTGGATTCTGTTCTTTGATAAATTTTTCTTTGATATTTAGAATTAGTCTACAGTAACCACTGTGAGGCTCTGTACATCAAAGGGTCCTTGAATAATGTCATTTCATTCAACGACTTTTTGCCACAACATTGATGAGACACAATAGGAACTTAACTCTTGTTATCAGTTAGCTTATGATAAACTAATTTCCTTATTCCTTGTTTCACTAAAGGCCCAGCACCTATCTATGACCTTAAGTGAGTACTTACTGTGATTAAAGTCAGGGAGCATTTGTCATACAAGGAATTAAGTGTAGATCACACATTGAAGAATTTTCCTTTAGGTGATTCGATGCCTTCAGACTCCTTAAACACCCTCTCCCCAAGCCTCTGGAAATAGTACCAGAACAATAATGACTGAAGACAATAGTAATATAATAGTTTAATGTTTTTTTACTATTCCTGAAGCATGTCATAGGGTTGGTGTGAGGATTAAATGAATTAATAAAACCACTTATCATACCAAAAAGAAAAGTTAACTTTGTCATTACCAGGACACCGTGGTGGGGAAAAATAGATCTTAGAAATATTCACTTCTTATGGACAAAGAGATATTCAGTGTTGATCATGCCTATTTACATATTGATCAGTGGAGAGGTCACCCAATTACTGGATCAATTTAGCTAGCCAGTTCTAGCAAGCATCTCCCTATTATGGAGAAGCTTGTAATATGGTATCAGAGATGGAGGTGCGTATTGCTGTATCTTTAGATGTCTATATTATTCTTTTAGTTTTTATTTAAAATATTTTTGGATCAACTACTATGTGCCACGTACTATCAAGTTACTTTGGATGTAGGAGTGAAAAAGACATTGAATGGTCTAACGGTCAAAGAGCGATAGGATCCTACCTTCTAGACTGGACTTCCTTCTAAAACCTTCAGCTCTATCAGCCTCCACCTTCCTCCTCATCTGCCACCCTTAGAACCTGCCCAAACCTAACAGACATGCCTAGTTTCAGATTTCAAGTCTTCCCATCCTGTCTTGCCTCAATATAGTTAAGTAGATCGTAACTACACACAGCCTCAAATACAACGATTCTAATCAGGCAAATTTGTCACCTGCCAAGCGATGGTACCAGACTGGTTTGATTAGTTTTATAGGTTATTCACTTTAGTTTGGTGAATAATTCACCTACCAATCTGTCATATATTTCAAGCTGAACCAAAGCTTATTTTTACCTATTCACTTATTGAATCTTGGGGGGGGGGGACATTTTTCTTTTTTGAAGTAAGAAAAAAACCTAAAGGATTAAAGGAAATTAGTTCAATTTCAGCTAATGGGTAACATTTCCTCTAAAATATATAAGTATTTAAAATAAATGAGAAAAAATTTAATAAGATGGGCTTGGAACTTCTGCAGCCAAAGGTTTTAAATGTCTAAGAAGCTTAGTGAATCTAAGTTTATCACTAAACATTCTTATTACTTTTCTACGTTTTCCACAGAGAGCATAATTGCATATTAAAATGTATAACTTCTTCAGCAGCATGTCAGGCTAGATACTCTCAAAGGCCTTCTTACTTTAAAACTAGATGCAGGATAAATTCAGAAAAACATGCATCATCCACTGTTTACAGGTTCTCTAAAAAGAAAGGATTTCCAAATTTAAAACATCCACAAATTAACATCAGTTTATATGAGGAGAATATAATAAATCACCAAGCATACAAAGAAGAAAATAAACAAACACCAAGGGAGGAGAAATTTTAGAATTATCAGAATCCAAATATAAATGTAGTATACATAAAAAAGTGTTTCAGCCCTGGCTGGTGTGGCTCAGTTGGTTGACTGTCATCTACACACCGAAAGGTCACCCGTTCAATTCCCAGTCAGGACACATGCCTAGGTCGCGGGTTAGGTGACCCAGTCGGGGTACATGCAGGAGACGACCAATTGATGTTTCTCTCTCCCTCTCTCTCCCTCTCCCTTCCTCTTTCTCTAAAATCAATAAAAACATTTTTTAAAGTGTTTAAGAGAAGGCAAAGTGAGCATGCAACAAGAAGCAATTCACAATGATTGAGTACATATTAAAAAGAAATGAAAAAACAACATTCAGAAATGATTTTTTTAAATTGTTGAAATTAAAATTCAAGGGATAAAATTTTTGGCCCGGGACACAACAGTGTATCTTATGTTGAACTAAGTCTATCAAAAATAACTTTAAAAGTTGGGAAAACATATAAACCATCCTTTGAAGGCACTGGAGAGCCAACACAAGTAACATTGGGCAGCTAGAACCCTTGAGAAAGGGAAGCACAGAGATACACTCCCTACTCACCTCAGAATTTTCCTAAGGGCATTTCCAAATTATGGAGAGGGTGATAAAGGCCAAAAAAGAAAGCAGCAGCCTCATAGCTCTAAGGACAAAGAGTTCAGTGATGCCAAAGGAGATGGGATTTGAGGAACAAAAATTGGAGAGAAAGGAACCTCAGAGGAAATACCCAAAAATCTGCATTAAATTTCCCTCGAGCTGTGAAGGTGCAAAGCAAGCCTGAAGCAGTGCAGTGAGCAGCAGTCAGGAAGCGCGAGAGTGGAGCTGGATTTCAGCAGAGGAACAGCACTGGAGTGTTAAAGATTATTATTCAAGACAGAGGAAACTTGCTAAATGTAGGCCTGAGACCTGGGAAGGGGCATTCCCTAGGGTTGATGGTCACCCCTATGAGTAAAGTCAGAACCAAAATAGGCCAGGGACAACTAAGCTTAAAACCAAGTTATGACTGGATCGAGGTCATTGACTGAAACGCTTTATGACTAAAAATCTTAACATTTTTTGGAAGAATATCATATAGAACCTTTACAGTTTACCATCCATAAACTGAAAATGATAAAATATGCTAAAAATAATAAAAGCAAATGACCACTATAAAGAGAAAAGGCAAGAAATGAAGAGATCCAGGAGCTATCCACAGGGCCATCAAGGAGTCAAGAATGTGCTGGCCCTCGCCACCTCGAAAGGCCCCAACCTACGCTACCTGGCCACTTCCTGGGCCTGCACTTGCACCGTGACTGCACGCCCGACTCCTGGGCGCTGTGCAGATGCAGCTCCTGATCTCGTGGTTGCCACACCCCAGTGGCCTCTGCCAGTCTTTTCTCTGGGCACCAGCACAAGCCACTGCCCCTGCCCACTAAAATGAACCATGTGGTGAGCTGCCAGTGGTCATTTCCCATAAAGGCAACTGAAAACTTTGTGTCAGAATAAATTTGCCTGGCATTCCCACAGTTCTATAAAATGAGATTTGAAAACGTTGCCTTTCTCTCTGACTTGCATAAATTTTGTTTAGATCGTACATTAGTAGGCAGGGGAAAGATGGCTAGCCATCACGTTATTAACTGCTGATGAGGCTCTCCAGCTTTACCAGGAGATGGCCTGTACTTATAAGATTCAGACATTTTAGAAAATTATTGGTTCAGCGTTAAAAAAAAAAAAAAAAAAAGGTTAAAGAAATCATGAAGGTGGGCAAGAAATTTATATAGTCTTTGTAGTATCCACATGACTGTTAAAAGTACAAATGTTTATCCTAAGACTATGTTGTAGGTCAAACTGGTGAAAACCATAAATCTAAGGATTAAAAAAATTAAGAAAGGATATATAAAAGAAAGTTATCAATAAACACCTTATAGCCAATTTACAAGAAAACAAAATAGATAGAAGTGGAGAATTTATAACCTGAAAAGGTAGTTTAGAAGAAAATATCCAAACAGAAACACAGACAGTTAAGAGGATGGAACATACAGAAAAGAGCATAAGAGACAATCAGACATAGTGAAAGGCTTAAAACAAGTATAATTTGAGGTGCCGAAAGAAAGGAGAATATGACAAAAGCAATGTTTGAAGAAAAAAATGGCCAAGAATTTCTCAGATTCAAGAAAAGCTATAAACGGCCCTAGCTGGGTAGCTGTTGGTTAGAGCGTCATCCTGATATGCCAAGATTGCGGGTTCAGTCTCCGGTCAGGGCACGTACAAGAAGCAACCAATTAATGCATAAATAAAGTTGATGTTTCTCTCTCTCTGTCTCTCTTCCTCTCTCCTTTTCTCTCCCTAAAATCAATAAAAACAAA